TTAGAATACAAACTATACCATAGCTGAGCTGAACTGACATTCTTTGTAGAGAAATGATCCACTGGTACATTGTAGCAAAATGCAGAATTTTATATGTGCTTGATACTGCTATTCCTTTCCAAACTAACCTGAAAAAATTAAAATGTGCTTTTGTCCTTGAGCTAAAATATCTGCATGCTAAATTTTATTTATGTTCATATTTTCAAAGATGATAAACTGTTTTTGCATTAAGCGTAATGGGAATTCAGAAGGCATTGTAATTCATCAAATTTATAAGAGAGTCTCAAGTTTTGTATCTTTTAATTTTTTTTTTTTTTTTTTTAAATTTTAGAATTCCCAATTGTTATTAAGAAACAATTTTAAAAACTCAGTTTTTTAGAAAGTGTTTCTTTAATTTATTGATATATTATGGTTTCTCAAATCTAAAAGTTTTTTCCCTTCCCTCCCCCCTTTGCCAAATTATACAAGGGAACTGCATCAGTTTCTTAATATGAAAATAATCTGATTGTTAGAAATAAAATATCAAAAGAACACTGAAAATTTTGAAAACGAAATCTCAGTTTATAACGTTTATGTTTAGTATTTTTGATGGTATGAGTTTTGACCAAGATTCTTGGAATAAATTAACACCAAACAGAGTCAGTATAATGCAATCTGATCTAACCATCTCGTATAATTATGAAGAAAATATTCTTAAAAGAGAAAATGAAATATTATAAACTTACCAGTTTTCAAATTAAATATTTATTAATATTAAAATGTTTTTGCCATGACAAGGTTTTATAATCACCATGAAATTTTGTTTATAATGTAGGTGATACTGTACAAGGTAGCAGATATAGAGAAAAATAATTAACCAAATTTAATTAATTATACTTGTATTTATAATAGTATATGTTCCTAATTATTCATTGTTTATTTGTAAGAGATGAAAAAGTAACTTTCTTGGAATGCTTTTGCGGATTACCACTATACAGTGAGAGTTACAATATACACATATTTTTGTATGTAAACAAACAAAATAATTTGTATCTTTGGCAAAATTGGCAAAAGGACCTTCCCCTCATCTGCCTGCTCCCTCCCTGCCTCTCCCGCTCACCTACTGGATTGTATAGGCGTCTGCTTGAGAGAGCTGTCAGCTGAGCAGGATGATGTCAGCAACTTGTGCAGCAAGGTCTCTTGGACTTGCTTGTAGGCTTTCCTGCCCCAAGGGAATTTTGGTAACAACAAATAGCATATTAAAAAACAACCCCCCTTAAAAACAGAGCTTCTGTTTGAAATACCTTCTCAAATAAAAGATCATTTCAGCTTGTGTGACATCTTTTAAATCAAAAATCGTAGTCAGTATTAATTGGTTCAATTAATGCTCTGATTGATTCCTTTCAAATTAGAGCACATTTTATTTTAATAGTTAAATATGCTAAAATATAGTTGCTTATTTCTGATTTCCATGTACTTTTCTTTCTATGAGTATTATTATTATTGAAAGGGATAAAAAAGGGGGTTATTTATGTTATTTAAATCCTGTAGCTGAATTATTATTAAATGTAAGGGAATAATTCTTTTAATACTTATCAATTTTTTTAATTCTTAATATCAACAATACACATTCTAAAAATTCTACTTCACTGCTTCTTTAAGCACATATCTCATAGACTGTGCTTCACAATATCTTTTAATAGATTGTTTTCCACTATGAACAGTTCTTGATTAAATAGTTTTTTAAATATATTTGTCAACAGAATTTCATTTTATATTAACAATTAAATGTTGAGGTCATTATATATATAGATAATATTTATATAATCATTATAAATTTAGATATGTTTAATAGCTAGTTTACTTTACAGTAACATTCACAGGAGTTTATGAATTAATAAATCCTTTATTTCCAAATGCATTATAAGTAATTTAAAAACTATTTGCATATTTAGTTAAAGGCAAATGCAATTTTTACAAGGCTATACTTAAACTTATATGTATTTAATATTTTTTATTTTTGGCAAGTGCAAGTCTTTTTTTTCTTCTGTGCATTCATTATATTTTTGAGTAAAGAAATTTGCAATTATATAGCATGTATCAGAATTTTTAATGTAAGAAATATGTATAAATATGGTTGCGTTCTACGGGTTCGTGGATTTGGAATGATTGATGACAACACTTGATGAAGAATCAAAACAGAATTTATTTGTCAGAATTATACAGGAGAGTTCTAAAGACGCATTTACAGCCATTGAAAAACTATGATAAACACCCTGAAACAATACTTTTGTGTTCTAAGTTCTTTTTTAAGGCTTATTTAAACCTTTGTCTGATATTGTAGTTACTGTCAAACATATCGATGATATGCTTGACGTCTGTCGGGGGTTTTGAACTATTTAACTTTTACCAGATCAAGTAAACCCTCATAGATACATTGTGGAGAAGTTGACAAGTTAGAAGATAAAGCACGCAGAAACTAGCGAGAGCATTGGTTTGCATATTGAGACAAATCTCTTAATTGTTAAAAAAGGTGCTTTAAGAGAAGGAAATCCAAAATGTTTGGGATATAGTAGCCAAAATGTTTGAGAAGGCTTCAAATTAACATAAATATTTTGTTGAGTGTTGTTGTTACAAAACATAAATGTTTTGTAGCTTTTAATATGTAAGTATCCTAATATCGTTTAAGAATCAATGCCAAAAATTACATGTATTTTAAACTGTGAAATTTTATTAGATTTCGATTTTAATAGAGCTTTTTTAAAAAATACTGTTAAAATAAAATTTAATAGTGGCCATGTAAATCCATAATGACAAAGGTTATCAAACTACCCAATTTAATTATTTATAACTAACTGCTTACCCTTAAAAATTATCTCTACGTATTAAAGCGAGTTATTGCCTTTCATTAATATTCACTGTGGTTACAAGATAAAACACAATAATGTAAAAATTCAAGTAAAACTTATTTTTTGCATCTAGTGAGACTTAAAATAATACAAAACAACTTATCACCTCTGGTGTTTTAATGGCTTATTGGAACCTTAAAGTATATTAACTGGGTTACAACCCCTGGAACTCGACACGACGCTACGCCACTAACTGCATCAAACAGGGCCTGACTAACTTTCAACACTTGCCAACCGGGCCTACATCAGGCCTTTCAAGCCTGTTCTAATCAGCAGGTCTCTAGACAAGCAGCAGCAGTTACAATATTCAGTCTTTTTTTATGAATCATGCTGATTATGATCTTACTTCTCATTTTAACCTGTGCCATTTGACATAAAATCTCTAGACTGACCAAATATGTGACAAAATGAGACTTAAAAAAAAAAAAAAAAAAAAAAAAAAAAAAAAAAAAAAATCAACATAAAGCTAACTGTTAGTAAATGTCACTTATCTTCTTTCAAATATGCCCAACTAGCATAAGCGTATTTAATGCTACTTGATAAATTGCATAAAGTTAATTTTATTCTCAAACTTATTAATAATTATGTTAATTAATTCATGTTTAATAATAATGCATATTACTTAGGGATCTATTTTATTTTTAGGATGGTATTACAAAAGTGAAGTTCAGGTATAGATATAACATTTTTAATTGAATTTATTCAGTTTCCATTTGCTCATAGGTCCTTAATTTTTTTCATTAATGTTCCTTGAAAGTACTTAATTTCCGTGTTCATAACTGTGTATGAACCCTGATTATGTGTATTATGAAAAAGGTATTCAATTTAAAACATTTTGATATTTGGAACATAAAATAAAAGTAGCAAATACACTATTAGGGGCCCTGAAAGAAGTATACAAAGTTTGATGCTTATACCAATTACTTATTAAGAAACTGAGCTTTAAAGTGTGACATTTAAATTATATTTTGACATAATATATATTTTGACATTTTATAATTTATATTTTGACATTTAAAGTAACCACTAGATATTGATTATTCTTCACACATTACAAACATTTTGCTAAAATCTATATTTTTGTAGTCCAGTAGTTTAGAATTTTATAAAACATGTTCATAACTAAAATTGCTGTTGCAGGTTACTGAAAGATAAACAAGTTATGATTTGAGCAGAAATGCCACTAACATATACAAATTGCATTGAATGTTTCTTTTTGTGAAAGTGTTCCTGCTCTTGGATTTGTGTAGAAGTGTTTACTACACCACCGTCAAGGTAAAAGCTCTGGATGTAAACAAAAGTACCACAAACCTTTCGAATACCAAATCTGGGAATACCAAATGAATACGAATACCAAATGGGAAATGAGTAGTCAAATGGGAGGAAGGTGTCTCCTTCTATTCTTATCGCCATGATATATGTATAAAATATAAAGTATTAAACTTATTTGGAATAAACTGGCAATAATAGATCTTCAAATCCATAAATTTTAATTAAATGCATCCCCATTTCAAAGGATATGCTTGTTATGTCACTCTTTTCCTGCAGTCTCTCTGCACTGCAACTGCTGCTTGTTATGTCACTTTTTCTCAAGCAGTCTCTCTACACTCCGACATCTGTATCTCAATCACTGCTCAGAATTAACACAGTGGCATTCTGGCTATAAATAGGACTGAAACGAGTAAACATTGCTTTTTCTCACTTGCTGTTGCCTGAATAACCATGTCTCTCACTTTGCCCTCTCCATTGTCTAAAATATAAACTACAAATATCGAAATTTTGGGGTGTCTTTAGCACCCCTAGTATTGTATCAGTTTTAATCAGAAGTATATTTATAAATAACTGTTCTTGGGAAAAAATAAAAATGATGTTTTAACCAACAAGCTAGTTGTGATTTTCGTACCAGCCATCATCTAAGCAACAGACTTCTTGGCTATAACTCAAGGGTGATTTGAGTTTTATCTTCCCCTCAAAAAACATAACATCATATATATATATGTATGTGTGTGTGTGTGCATAGTAACATTACTTTGTAGTATGGAATATTAATTGCTTCAGTGATAATTATGTAATTATGTGTTATTTAATTAGAACACTTTTTCATTCTTTTAGGTATCATTTAGGATCTGTTGCATTTGGTTCCTTGCTGATTGCTACTGTTAGAATGATTCGTGTTATGCTGGAATATATCGATCAGAAACTAAAGAAATATGACAACAAACTGACCAGAGCTATCATGTGGTATTTAAATTTATCATTATATCAATGACTTTTGTTTTAAAGTAATGTAAAGTACTTACATCTTTTTACATTTTGCAGCTGTATGAAATGTTGTTTCTGGCTTCTAGAAAAAGTTTTAAGGTTTATAAGCAAAAATGCTTATATTATGGTAAGATATTTCACTGTGCTTTCTTAAATTGCCTTTTAAATGTTTAAATTTTAATGTGTATAATTTATATGATCTTGCAGTAGTTAGTATACATAGTCCATGAGTTTTCCCCCTTCAAATATATTGTTATGTTGTTGTTACTTTTTTCACTTATCTGACAGTAAGATTGGAAATCCACAAATTTTTTTCATGCTCAAAAGGCAAGGTTTGAACCTGTTGTTAGCTTATGCCTTTGTACACCTTTAAGGTGACAGTGTTAATTTGAAAACTCCATCCTGATCCAAAGATACTATCCCCAAAGGGATGGATTCGAAGGTTTCTCATCCCTCTTTCTCTTCTACCAATCTCTTGAGAGGATGGAGTGACAGTATTCCAAGTACCCCTTGTGTTATAAAGACACTGTATGCCTCCAAACATCCATCCTTCTCCTGGATTCAAACTAGGACACATGGTAATGGAAACCATCTGTTCTATGGTTGTTCCAGCAAGTCAACTATATTATTGTACAGCTAGCTGCATTGTTGGCATAGGTACTCTGCTACTATATTAGCATAGATATGCTGCTGTCCTGTTGGCAGCTGTATTATTGCATAGCTGCCCTGTTAATAAATATGTAAAAAGTATAAATGTAATTATCAAAGAACATACACACATTTTACAGCAGTTGAGCCTTTTTATTTATTTATTCATACATTCAAGAATATTTTGCAATTTCTAAAAAAGTATCTAATTCTGTGCACCAACTCTATCATCATGCTTACGTCAAAACATCTAAATTTTCATCATATATATGTGTGTATATGTATAGCACAAAGTCCGTAATCCGGACATCCATTATCCAGAATTATCTATAATCTGGACCTCAAAGCCACAAATTTTTTTTATTTGTATGCTTTACGCATGCGCGTTTAATGCGCGCTTCCAATACGCATGCGCACATGCGTTTATGCATCCACGTTCTGAAGTGAAGCTTTCACTTCCAAAGAAAGTGACAGAGAGGTTATTGAAAACGAAAAAATTTAGATTGAGAAGTTAGTCGGTATTCTCGACACGGCAATTACAAAACTTGAACAGTGGAACTTTGTAACTCAACAAGAAATTATGTCTGTTTATAGAATTAAAGAGAAAGTATTAACACAAAAAACGAAGCAACATAAATAACTTACATTAAAAGAAATGTTTAATAAAGTAAACAAATAAATATTAAACTTTTTTAAAATTTATTTATTTATTTATTTTTTAAAATTTTGATACTCTTTCGATCACAATTGCTCTTTATTTCATAAATTATGGTTTCATATTTTTAATTGTATAATTTCTGCATACCTTCTTACCAGATTTAAATTGATGATCTACAATCCGGAATCGCCGAAGTCCCGACAAGTCCGGATTATGGACTTTGGACTGTATATAAAACAATTATATATGCATATGCAGCAATTATTAATAAATGAAATCCTATGGAAAAAATATCCAACTAAAGAGCATACTAAAAGCTACAATCAGTTTAGTTTTAATAATACAATTATTTTGTTGTAGAAAACTTGATGATAGATGACAGCTTGATTAGGGAATGATTTAATTCACTTTTTAATCATGGCCGAGAAAACCCTTGCATAGTTGGTTGGAAATTGCAGCATAGTGGATGACTGGATGGAATTTTGGAACAAGCACAACCAGCTTAGTATAGTTAAACATCATTTGTTTTTGGATGGCAAATTTCTTAGCACATATTTTCTTAATTGGTAAAACAATGGGGGAGCTAATGCACCCCACAATTTTAGATACACAGTTTGCATTTTAAACATTTTATTTACATAAGGAAGAATATTAAAAAGTTTTATTAACATAAGGGAAGAATAGCTAGAAGAGCAACATGTCGCCAGCAGAAAAGGCAGAGTGGTGAAAGGGGATGCATAGTTAGTTGTGGTATTGTTTATAAACTTGAAAAGTCTTTATTTTAATCCTGGACAGTGACTGGGCAAAGATTTCACATTGCAGTTACTACAAGGAAAGTATAATGTAACATGGTGCAATATGGAACCTTGGATAGAGGATGTATGCAATTAAATTTAAGAATTAAAAGGATTGTTCAAATTAAATGTAATCTGGTAAAAAATTTTTCTTCATCTTTTTATATCTTGCATATTCCCTTCTTCAAGGAAAAAGAGGCTAGGCAATAGAAAAGCCTTTTGAGAAAAAAGTGTTAGAGTGTTAGCAAAGGAAGGAAAATTTTATACAATACGTACAATTTTCAATCAGGAAACGAATAATTGACATCATGTTGAAATTTGGAAATGTTAGCAAAATATCATTCTATAAGAAAAATTTAGAGTCCAATTTGAAACCCTTTGATAATATTTGTAAAGTTCTTGATGTGGCTGGAAGACTACATAAAAAATTCTTGTAGTCTTGTGAAAATCTTTCATAAAAAGTAAGTATTGTTATTAGTTTAAAATCAAAATGGTTCTGGTACATAGTTATGAAATTCTGTTAATATTTATTTAATAATTATTGTACATGATCACAATAAATTTCATAATATAACTAATTTTCATTCATTTTAACATCATCTGAAGTTGTTTTATTGAAATTATACTATTTACAGGGTTCTTACGGTCCTTAATTTTTTGGGATCGATTTTCAGTCCTTAAAGTCCTTAATTTTGGCCAAAATCGGCAGAGAAGGTCCTTAATTTTAATAATCTGAAATTTCTGTCTGTTTTTACAACTGCCATTTTGAGTGTAAATTAGCATTTTGCAGCAATATTTTTGGTGATTCACTGACAAATATTGTTATTTTTTGAATGGGTTCATGGGTTATAATTTGTTCCTATTTGTGAGTAAGAAGTAAAACGTAAGCACTTTGAAATTATTAAATTTTTTGTAATGAAGAGCTCTGAAACAACTTTCTGCTTTTGGGGATGTGAATTCTTTTATTAAATGGTTCTAAATTTGGCGACTTGTCAACATTTTGGCAATTTTAAGATCGGTTTCTATGGAAAATTTTTAATTCCGAAATCTGTGAAATTTTTGGTGACTTTTTAAGAACATTCTAACACTGATAAATTTCATTAAAATAATGGTAATGTATTGGAATTATATTTAAGAAATAATATTAAAATAAAGCATTTTTATTTTTCACTGTCATATTATAAAGTTTCAGTTTGGCCACATATTATACAATGTTTTGAATCTGAAAAATAAGCAAGGTATGATGCTATAAAGCACAATTTACGAAACAGTTTTTAGCAAAAGCAAAATAGTATGTAATTAATTTAAAATGTCTTTTTAATTTTTTCATAGTAAGAAATGTCCCCATTTCTCAGAATGTTCAGAATTCTCAGAATATGCATCAATTTTCTCTTTCTCTACTTTTCACTAGACACAAGCATGGAAAATATAAAAAATGCTTCTAATCTTATCATATGGATAGGCATTATAGAAAAGAATTTTTTATTAATAAAGAAATTGAAAACTGACAATTCAAAAGATTCATCTAATATGTCTTAATGCATCATACACAGGGCTGGGACTAGGCATTTTGCCACCTGATGCCGTCTCTGTATGTCTTAATGCATCATACACAGGGCTGGGACTAGGCATTTTGCCACCTGATGCCGTCTCTGTGGGTCCTAAATTCTGCTCCCTGATGCCTTTCTAAATTCTGCTTCCAATGCCCGTTTTAAATTCTAAAAGTTTCTATATTTCGTTGCTTGGTGTGTCACTAAATTCTAAAAATTATGCCATACCAGCTCTGTGACTGGACCTTACCATATGTATTTCATATTTCTTCTGAATGTTTGTATTATTATATAAGGTATTTCTCCTGCCTTCCTAGCGTGGTGTAGTGGTCAGCACACTGAGCTGGTATTTCAGAGGTCCGTGGTTCGATTCCCAGCGAAGGCGTTGCTAATTTTTCAATTTTCCTGCTTCAAAAAATATACCTAATGGCTCTACAGTAACGCCCGAACTAAAAAGATGTTGTATGATGACTCTCCTCACCCAGGATTTGGCAATTGGGTCCTCTAAAAACCCCATACGCCCTTTAAAAGGAGGGTATATAAAGTATTTCTTCCGTCTTCAAGGTGTAGTGGTTCTGCACGCTGGGCCGGTATTCCATAGGTCCGTGGTTCGATTCCCGGTGAAGGCGGTTGCTTATTTTTCATCTTGCCTGGTCCCCCCAAAAAAAATACCACCTAATGTTTCTACAACTAAAGAAATAAAATTAGCAGCTTCTTCCATACATTTTTAAATGCATTTTGTCTTTTAGAATAACAGAAATCTTTAATTAAATCCAAAAATTCTAAAGTGAAAAGGAAACTCGTTGAAGAAACGAACTAAATATGTAAAGAGAAAGAAAATTTTTCTTCAGAGATATGTAATTATTATTATGTAAATTACCCATTTGTTAACAATTTCAGCCTTTACTATAATTTCCCATTTGTATTTCCTCATCAGAATGAAAATCACTGAGACAGTTTTTAAACTGGACTTTTTGGAGTGTAAGACAAGAGTGTGTTTCTGACCTCCACTTGATCCCTGTATTAGTTCCTATCAGCTCTGATAATTTCCATTACCGCTGCTGACATTTGAGTTTATTATGATGATAGAGTTATTGAAATAGATTAAATTGAAATTAAATTGACCACTTGTCCACATTTTTAGTTTGAATTTGACTCTTCTTGTTTAATTACATCACCATGAGCTGTAATTGATTTTGTTAGTATAAGAACATGCCTTTATGTTCTAAGTTCTTTTTAAATAAAAAGCTTATTTAAACCTCTGATTTATAGTTACTTTCAGACATAGCCATAATTTGTGTCACGTCTGTCGGGGGGGGGGGGGTGGACTATTTAACTTTTACCAGATCAAGTAAATTCTCATAGGCAGTACATTGTGTAGAGGTTAACAGCTAGGAGATAAAACAGGCAGAAACTAATGAGAGCATTGCTTTGCATATTGAGACACATTTCTAATTGTTAGAAAAGATGCTTAAGG